TGCTGCTGATGCGACGTATGATGTTGCTGCTGCAGCGACTGTTGTTGCGGCTGTTGATGCTGCTGATGCTGTTGTTGTTGTTGCTGCTGTTGCTGCTGCTGCTGCTGGTGATGACTTCTCTCCGCCATAGAGTGCAACGCTGCCAGCGGCTGGCTGCCGAGCATGCCACCGCCAGCTGCGCTCAGATTGAGGAACTGCAGAACGTGGGGCGCGGCCGCGGGAAAATCGTGAAGCCAGGGTGGCCGCGGTGGCGGCGGCGAATGGCTCGAGGCGGGCGGTGGTGAACACGAGCCAAGCGAGGAGCCCGCGGACGAGCTGCGGTCGCCCTGGTCCAGGTGATGATTGTTGTTGCGTCGGTGCGCGTCACTGAGCGACGATGACATGTTCTCGGCGACCTCGAGTCCACCGCCCTCCGGCGTGGAGCGCGATGGCGGGTCCGGGCAAGCGTCTCCGCTGTCGGCGCAGGCCTTGCCGCTGGTCAGAGAACATACCATCTCGCACCACGCATAGTTCGGTAGTGAGCGAAAAATCTTAACTGATGCTTAGAGCCGCGTGCCTGACGAGGCGTGCGGTCGTCTCTTAGAGCCGCGGGGTTTCTCGCGCACAAGGTATATCCGAAGACCCTGAGTGAACCGGCCTGATGCGATGAAGATTTTTCGACACGCGACGGTTTTTCACTTGATTCGAGCAACGATGTTCGATTACACCGACGACACGAGACACGTCCGGCACTTATCGCGATCGCGATTGTCACTGCTTTCTAGAAGGAAGAGCTCTTTTCGCTCCTCCTTTTCCTTGGACCGTCGCTCGCACTTGGTTGATTCGGTTTCTTCTTTTCCTATCTCCTTCAGATCAATCACTGATCCCCATGATTCTCCGCGAGCGCACGGCGCGTTGTCTGCGCGCGACAGGCTGCCGATGCACGTTCCGCGAGTTGCGATCGATGAGCGGAAAAGTAGTCACACCGTACACTGTAAGCGGTCACCGGTTTGCCGGTTCCGTGCGATGACATGGAGAACGAGTGTTCGGGAAATTAGTCACGGACTGGGTTGGTCGCTCGGACGATTGACTACGACGCGCGATCAGGAAGTTGTCGTCCGTGTCGCGCCGACGATAACCGTGAGTCTCGCCGAATGACTCGCCGCGTCGCCAAATGGTGTGCGACCAGGGTGCATCGAGCGCGCGCACTCTTCTCTCTCCGGCGGGAGATCGAGTCTCTCTCCCGTGCCTTCGTCCTTGCCCTCGTC